TAGTTGCAACAAAAATGTTAAGACTTGCCTATCATCTACAAATTGTCATTACAGGCACTGTATTTAAAAATAAAGCTGTTAATGAGGAACACGTCAGTCAATGATGTATGTCCTATGATTTGAAATATCTGTCTTCCAAAATGTTGTCCTCTTCCTAAGAATCCCAAATGTTAATATTTATGAGCATTGCAAAACTAGAATATTTACAGTGGATGGGTAGATGCATATAATGATAGATGCATGCAGTGAATTTGGGAAACAGGGGAGCTAAAACTCAAGCCAGCTGATACGGTTTCCGTGCTTTCAAGGGGAGTTAGTTACACCTTTGATCCTCTCCCAGTCAAAACCCTGCTGCTCTTTTACATTTTGTTATAGACAACAGCAGTTTGTATGCTCAGAGAAATTATTTGGCATGACAGGTAAAAGATGTGAGTTTCAGTGGGGTAGCTAAATGCTGTCCAAATACACTCTTGTGTATTTAACTGCATAACAAGATAAAATGATGATTCTGATGATAGATTAATTGTGGATATTTATTTAAATGACTGATTTGCAAAGTTGTGCTTATCTGAGAGGATCACTGGACACAGTGTTGCTTTACACAAAGTGAAAATGTTACTTTTTTTTTTTCCTTAAGAGATTAGTAAGAATTAGAGAGAGGGGACAAAATTAGCTTTCAAAGCACCAGTGGTTTCTTTTCCAGATAATATTTCCAATTAATAACTAGCACAAATAAGATCATAGGTGATTCTAAACCTTTTACCAGAGCTTTGGGAAACCAAAGTTTCTTGCATTCAGTTCAAACAATTTTAATTGTACAAGTAGGGGTTTCACAGATGTCTATTTCTCTACAGCCATCTCAGGAATGAGCAGTGCCATTCTTTCTAGTTGTCTTGAGAACAGTGTAATGTTTTTTAAAGGGTGGAGGGAGACTTTCATTGCTGCAATCACCACCCACTGAAGACATGAACCAGAGAAAAATAAAATGGCTGGGAGGCAGAGAGAGGGAGGAGGTGGTGGGGAGAGATGGTTTTTCATGAGCTGTTAACAGAATCAGGAGAGGAAAAGGTAAGAAAGCAGCCGACTGATAATTTATTATACCATCTTTAGCAGAAATGAGAATTAAAACAAAAAAATAACGTGGCCATGAGCAATGTAGCATTTCTCACCTACTCAATGATATAAAGTGTCCAGAACAAAAATCAGGTTTGGCAAAGAAGATAACGTCATGTGGAAGCCTGCAGTGTTTTAGCTTTCCTGGTGGGAGTTGACAGCAGGTGAACAGATTGTTTAGCATTAAACTAATTGATGCTAAATGAATTTCATATTGTATGCTTGATACTGATGGTCATTCAAACCCTAGAAATATCCAAATAATAATGTTCACCATAAAATACAAACCCTTTATTTTTACAACTCTTCTTTTTTTTTACAAACCCTGTATTTTTATAGGTGCTAAATTGTGGAGACCACCACATTCTGTAGGGGGGCTGTATAACAGTTCTGACACTGCTTAGAGAAGGGGTAGTTGTAACAGCACCCAGTTCCTACGCCAAGTGTTATCAGCATGGTTTCAATCTAGAATTACAGTATAAATATTGATTATTGGAGTTAGAGAAGTATTTGCTGGTGATAGAACTGTTTACCCTTTCCTGTATATTGAATGCTCTGAGCTTGTTAGTGTGGCTCATCTACATGTATTTCTAGCAGAGTCTTCTCAAGGAAGTAGGTATCATAATCACTACTAAAATGTTTCATTGTATATTTAAATTAGTGCAATTTGAGAGAAGACCAGATTAACAACTGAATCAATTTTTGTGTAATTCTTGGCACGTGGCTCCTGGTATTGGGGTCTAGTGATGCAGCTTCACATAATATGCTCTATCATATGGATTCATATTAGTACTATCTTTTCATCTGAACACAGCTCAAGAATTTTTAACAATTCATCTTGGAATACTGCCAACAAAAATGTACTTAGTTTTGCAAAGTGCAGCAATTGACACTGTTGGCCGAGCAGTTGCATGATGTTTCTAAACAAATGCATGTGTTTGCACATTTACTGCCTGTTTTGCATCTCTGGTGCAAAGATGATGTAATATCTTCCAGAAGAGAGAACTGTATGTCATTCAGCAGAGTATATATGTGTTTGTTTCTTAGTACTTCAGTAGGGACCTCAGAGCACCACTGAGAGTGAGCCCTTGTCATGTTCATCTTTGCACCAAGTAAAACTGTAAAAGAAATTAATTGTCTCAAAATAGACGAAACCTGAAAGAAAGAAGTAGATGCCTTTTGCTTTTTCCTAACATCACATAGTGCTTGCTTTTAGGACCCAGACCTCCTCAGTCCCTTCCTATGTCTCCCAGAAGCATAATTTGTCTTGTGGGTTTAAGTAGAGCATCCCAAACTTTGGTCTTTCAGGTAGGCCCATCTTTGTACAAATTGGTAATCCCTAGGATATGGTTATTATTACACTAAAACAATGTGGCTTTTCAGTATTTAGACTCCATGGAACTGTCACTGGGACATGTGTAGGATTCTACGATGACAAGCAGTTCCATTAAATATTACTTGTATTGTTTTGAGAAAGTTTAGCTTCACAGAGAATAACTTTGGAACATGTACACATATTATTTATTGACATTTGTGCAATGTTCACATTCAGGATGGCCTAATTCAACATCTGTTTCTTATTGAAGTGAGCATCTGATATTTCACAGATAATGACGAGACATGAGCTTACTGTCCTCTAGGCCTACCAGACAAATTGGAACGAGGCTGTCTAGGTGGATGGTAAGACCTGTTTCAGTGCTGGCTGCAATTCTGATCACACTTTTTACATGGGCTGTGATCAGAATAGGGTTTATCTGTTATACCCTGTTCACAAACAGAAATACCAGCAACTTCAGTGTTGTGTCCTAGGATCAGAAAGAAAGAGAGATGAAAATTTTTCCAAAACAGAATAGTAAAATTTGAAAGCTCTCAAAAGCTCTACCCCTGTTAAACTTTTTCCCTTGCTCACTCTGAAAATCTGAATTTATGATCCTTCTTTTGGCCTGTCAAATATGTCTGTCATATGGCAAAGGAATGAATTTACCTATAAAGCAACTGCTTGGTGACCAGGATATGGGGAGAGAGTTTGTTCCCTGATTGAGTTTCTCTGGAGTTTGTCTAGAGAGATAAGTTGGCTCACAGAGAATGACCACAGGATGACTGTTACGTACTGCAAGAAGCCCCAAGTAATTTTGTCTTCTCTTTTTCCTGATGCAAGGTTGCATAACTCATTATTCTTCATTGTGGTTTGTAAAGACGAGCTCACTTCTGGTCAACAAACACAATATTCAGTCTTTTATTTGTGTTGGCACTGTGTTTAGCTCGTGGCTACAGTTTTTAACTAGAGGAGACTACTACTCTGATATTACGACGGAAAGGTCCCAGAAGGAAAGGACTATGTTTCTTGTTTTCCTCTGTGACGATGTTCCCTAAAAATGCAAGCCTGTGAGTAAGTAATTGTCGCAGATGAAGGTATCTCACACGGTTATGATTTAATAGCAATTTAAGATCTATTAATGGTGTGTGGTAGATCAGAGGTTAAATTTTAGCAGCACTTAATGTTTGATCGATTCAACGATTAACAAAGTGATTTGGTAAAGTATGTTATGATTAAAATAGTGACTTGATTACAGATTTGAGAATGACAAGAGTCACACTAACTTACCACAAGGCATTCTGAATCAAGTATATATATATATGTAAAACATAAGACAGACAGACACAAACAGCACAGAAATATTTGGATATCCAGTGAAATATATAAACATTCACACTCGTAAAGGTAAATGTGCAGTTAAACACATAGATAAAGAGGTGGATGGAAGAGTTTGGAACTAATATTCGTATTTCATCAATATTTCTAAACGGGCAGTAATTGAGAGTTGAAAAGAAGTCTGACTTTACCCTGGCCTTCTGTCGGCTTTGCAGGCTGATGATATTCAAACTTTGAGAAGTCTGAGCCCAAGAGGCATTCCAGCTCTGGGGAGATGCTGGTCACAGCCTGCTGTGATCCAGAAGAATTCAAAGGGTCTCACTATGGGAATCACTATGTATAGGGTCTGAGATAATTGACTATTGTCAGGTAATTTTCCATTTCAGCTAAATTCAGATGAGGAAATACTCTGGTACTTTCCAGCAGTTGCACAGGCACAGAACTCTCTAGATTTTGAAGTTCTGGTATCACCCCCTTTGGGCCACGACCCAGGTGCAGAAGTACTAGGCTGTCAGGAGGTGATTGATTGTCAGTATTGCTCCCAACCAAGAGGGGAAGCAGGAGCCATCTACGTTAAGGGGGGTGCCTTAATGCTCTGGTCCACTGCCTTTTGCAATTCATCTCAGGTTGGTATGTGTACCAGGAGTGGGGAATCACACCACACACCGAGCAGCCCAGGAGAGGGGGGAGGGTTGCACCACCATAGTAATCTAACATACCCTTCTCTCTTAGCGGCTCTCTTAGTTGCTCAATTTGATTTCTTTGTGGTCCAATTTATCTATATGCATCTATGGATGTGTGTAAGCCGGAAAATGCTTTTTCTCCTGGTGCTTGCTTTATGTGCCTTCTTTAGGACCCATGTATTGCAAATTCAGATTGCAGTGCCAAACCATGCTAGTCTGCTAAATAACCCCTTGGACAGAATTTTCTTGTCTGATAGGCCAGTTGTGTTTATATACCTCCTTTGAAAAAGCAGTAAGGATGAGAAAAAGCAATTCTCAATCTGATAATTAAAAAGCATATCCCACCAGACTCCATCAAAACTCTTACAGCTATCCTTCAGAAGAAAATAGTGTAAACATTGTATCCATAGCTCTAACTCGTCCTATAAACATTTCAATCTTGAGAAGTTACACCATTTGAATTTCACTTCTGCTCTTTATTTGTTGCAATTGATTTACTCTGACAGACCTGTTATCTGCATAACCAAAGTTTTGGGGTTTTTTCTTGCCAGGTATTATCAGCCGTCAGGAGGCAGAAGAATTGTTGATGAATAAATCTGAAGGAACATTCCTGGTGCGAGTCAGTGAGAAAATCTGGGGCTATGCGTTGTCTTATCGCCAGCAAAGTGGGTTCAAACACTTCCTGGTTGATGCTTCAGGAGATTTCTACAGCTTCTTGGGAGTAGATCCAAACCGACATGCAACACTGACAGATCTTATTGATTTTCACAAGGTAACACTTGCTAGGTAGAGATCAATAGCTGAGTGGAATAGATTAATAATTTAAAGAGAACCATGTAATTCGAAACCACACTGGAAAGTAGTAGTAAACATAGTGGGGAAAAGAATATACATATTTATTCTGCAGTAAGCCTAGCGGTAACATTTATAGTTTGTGTCTTTTGTTGCAGTGAATCAGAAGGCTCTTCCTCTCTTTCAAAAGCTTCAGCATATATTTTTGTCCCCTTTGAAGCAGATTCTTATGTAATGCATGCTCTTATGGGCTAAAAATGGACTAATAAGGGCTGACAGAGCTAACACTTTTTGAGCCTCTTTGCAGTTCAAAATTGGATTGGAAATACCATAGAAAAGACTTTCAATGAAATTTCAGCATTTGTCAACTTTTGTGAGGGCTGTCATGTCCAAAAGCAAAGGAGTGGGGCCCTACAGTCAAGAAGGGAACATGGAAGGGTTCTCCTTTAGGGATGTGCTAAGGGTCATTCCTTATTATCTAAAACAGTCATACAAGAGTAATTTACTACTCATCGTTGATTTTAGGTGTGTTTGAATTACTTTGTCTCTAACTTATGTTTCTTGTTGCCAAGCTGTGACTAAACATTAGCACTGTTTCTGATATTGTAGCTTGTTTTCAGCATCTTGCATCTCTCCTTATCTTCATCGGTTTTAATTCTGATTTTTTATTAGCCACCCTTAGAATTTCTCTTCATCTTCATCTTCTCAATGGCCACCTTGGAAGCCAACCACTCCCACCCCCTTCTTCTTCTATCCCAGTTTTTATTGCTGAGCATGACATTATATGGTGCGAAATATCCTTTTGGCCAGTTTGGGCCAACAAACTGGTCTGTGTCCCCTCCCAACTACTCATTTATTCTCAACCTACTCACTGCCAGCAAGACCTGAGTGGGAAAAGGGAAAGCCTTGATGCTGTGCAAGCATTGATCAGCAGCAGCCAAGACGTTAGTGTGTTATCAACACTGTTTTAGCCACAAATTCAAAACACACCACCATACAGACTGCTGTGAAGAAAGTTAAGTCCATCCCAGCCAGACCCAGTACAACTGGAAAGAGTCTAACCAAGGCCTTGCCAGGGAAAGGAAAGCACACACACAACACCCCAAGTGCAGATTATCAGGCACTGGATGTAGGAGCTCTGGATGAAGTAGCCCTGTGCTTCTGGAGAGGGGTGATGGTGACAACCAGTTCCAACCATCTCTGCCCCAGCTATGTTCCTATATTTTCATCACAGCTCACCCTAGGTAATCACTCTACTAGAAACACATCTGTTTACATACAGCAATAGGGCACTTGTCAGAACCAAAATGGCTTTTAGTTCCTGATGTTTAAGGGGGAAAAAAAAAAGTTTTCTTAGATGTCCCCTGATAATAGTTAATAGCTTCCCCTGTAGTAAGCTTATCAGAGAAACTGAGTCACCTTTAATGTCACCACACAATTCTCTTTTAACTGTCTAGCTTAATAGCTGGTCCAAACACTGGTCTCTCTGGCAATCACTTCAGAAGGCAACTTATCCTGTCTTTCACATGGTTTTCTTAGAAGATTTTCTGCTTGTCCTTTCTGGTGAAGTGCATTGTCAAGTGTCCCAAAACCTCCTGGTAGCCAGCTATGCAATCTTATTTAAACAAATGTGCTGCAGGCACACTTTCTCTTGCAGCTATTGCTATATTGTTTGGAAAACTTGCTGCTTCCTCAGGACTATTTTTGGCAAGACTATACTTCCCCACCCCAGAATTTGCATGGACTTCTCCTTGAGGGTCCTGTTCACTTTCAATCAAAGCAAGCAGGGCTGGCATAACTACATTTTAGTTGCTTATACTTATTCATCTAAAACTGCTTAATTTTCATTTAAAAAAATTAAAAATATGTCACTCAAGCAACTCAGCTGACGGATACAAGGGAGTGGTAGCCATTAGCTGGAAGAACAAACTTCTTACAGAAGAGGGTGTGAGTGTGCGTTTTCTCTTATTACTATTTGCATTTAAATACTATGTGGAAAGCAGCAATAACATATCCAAGATCATTGCTAAATCTTTGTATTTACTTCCTCATAACCTTCTCAAATGCATTTAATTTGAGTAGTAACTTTCTGAACTTATTCTCAGTCTGATACAGTGATTGGGATGGAACCACAACTGGGAGCCTGCATGTGTTCTGAGGAAATCAGGCACCAAATTTCCATTGAATTTCAATAGAAACTAACTAAGTTTTGAAAAGGTTGGACCCATATAGAGATCCTTAAAATGGATCTAAAATTTCAGATGAAGGATTGCTATTTTAGTCAATATAATTCTGGATTCTGGCTCATTTTGGTGCACCTATAAATCTCAAACTTCTACAGAAATAAAAATAAACTATCATTACTCTAGCAATAAGTGCAAACCCCAAGTTCTCTACTTTTCTAGTAAGTTTTTTTGTATTCATCTTGGCAATCAATTACTGGAATGACAGACTTGGCGTTTGGTTATTTAATTAGTGAGAATAAGTGCTATTTTGTAAAGACTGTCTTTAAGCTAGCAAGGTTAATATCTTTCACCTCTCTGTATCAGTCAGCTGTTACTGTTGTGTTTGAGCGCTCAACATTGAGCTCTTGCTCAGTCTGCCTGGGGAAGATTCTTTCATCCCAATGACTGTGGAAGCATCATAGTAGGACTGGCGTCTATTGGTTAAATTAACCCTAGAGAACATCCTTTATAGGCTGTATTTGTAGCTGTTTTTCTTAAGCAGCATAGCAACTTACAGGTAGCACAAATCTTAGCCTTTTTTGTACACCGTTTGATTTCACTATTTGATACTAGCTCAAATTACTAGTGTCATAAGTACGAGATAAACAAAGCATGAAGAATAAGAATAGTTGATAGGGTCCCTTTGTGGGTCTGTACTTATTTTATCAAGCTTTTATTCATAATTGGTTATCAATTACAGTGGATTTATGGTCTTTATTGCTAGCAGTCACTTTTCTTAGGAGACAGGGAAAGGCTTATACCTTCGATATTTTAATTGGTTTTATCTTTCTAGGAAGAAACCATCACATCCTCAGGTGGGGAGCTACTACTGGAGCCATGTGGACAGCAGAAGAATCCACCAGACTACAGTCCTTTATTTGAATAACTGATCCAGGACTAAGAGGAATGCATTCTGGATAGCTGTAGTAATAGATAGCTACAAACGTAAACACTGAAAAGTAGTTACCAAACTTCCAAAGCCACTGGTCTTGTGGCCAAAAAGATCCTCATTAGAAGGCCCAAAACATTTCTGTTTTGCATCTGAATTATCATCATTATGCACATTGCTAATGTTTTAAAGGTGAGAAATTACTGGCAAATTACAAATGAGGACTATTTCCAGAAATTTTTCAAGGGCTTGTGGCCAATTGCACTGAATGCTAAGTTCCTATCTTAAGTTTTTGAATGTCCAAGATTGAAAATGCAAAATGCAGCAAAAAGTATGGGTGGGAACTATTCATGGAGTATTGTATGAAGTACCAATATTGGTGATCAGATTCTTTTTTCCAAAGCAAGGTTTGTTGGTTTCTGTTGACAATCTCATTACTCAGTGGTGCACATTTGTTACCGAGAGAAGCAGTCTTAAAACGTCCTTTTGCAGACTGTGATTACTTAAATGGTTAGGTGTAGCTGGAAACTTGCCATTGTGCTTTTGAATTCAGGCCTACAAAGTTCACCACAGCAGAGGCAGAATAAGGTCACTCACATTTTATTTACAATTTCATGCAGTCCAACAGCCTTGGAAAGAATTTTACTCCTGTACACAAAGTAGTCAGTTTATTCTAAACTAGTTATTGTAATGAAACCAGTTTGATTTGCAGCAACAATTCGTCTCATGTGCCTTGTCATGTTTTCTGCTTTTTGATGCGCGAGATAAATGCTAGAGTTTCCTGGCTTTACTCTGCTGTGGGACCAGGTATTTTCTTTGGCTGAGCTATGAGTGAAGATGGGGGTGGTATATTAATCCATTTAAAAGGTAAGAATAATTACATTCTCATCATGCTACGTCATGTTTAAAAAAAGATGCACACAATGTGTTCTCAATCCATTTGTTAGACATACTAAACCTAATGAAAATAGATCTGTAGCCTAGATCTATGGAGCAGTTGCTTAATGTTTGGACTATTTAAAAGAAAAAAAAAAAAAAAAAAAAAAAAAAGAAAGAAGAAAACCCTCATCACAGTAGCTAATTTGCCCTCCTGAAATTTGTGTCTTAGCAGTCCTTGCACTCTGGGCTGTCACGCAGTATAGCTGTAGTCCTGCATTGTTTCACTGGTAAACTAGATACAACCGAGGCAGCCAATTCAGGAAATGGAGTAAAAGAGTTGCAGAACTGTTACTGTTGCGTTCCTGTGCTCCTTGCTCTATTCCCATGAATGGCCAGATACAAAATGCTGGGAATAGAAGTACTCTTCTCAGCTCCAAACATTAATTTCACAGGGCAATATTTCAAATAACAGGGTTGTGACAGTTTTGTATGCAACTGATTTGTTTCAAGAGTGAAGTGAGGGAAATAGTTGTGTACCTATTGGTTAGTCTCATAGTCATGCTTTTAATAAGCAGTTTCTCAGTACTTAGTACTTTTTCATATGCGATGTGTATTTTAAGATGTAAATTGAACCAATCCACATGTGGTACTGTACCTCAATGTTTGTTTATTTTTTTCCTGGAAATCTCTGAACGCATAGGAAAGTCACAGTGAGTGTATTTCTATATGCTACTGTCTTGGGCAGTCTCTGAATTCACATGTATTTCAGTGAAGACTTCCCTCCTGAATCCCATGTAAATCCATCTCACCTAAAATAGTCATTTCTTAAGACTCACTGTTACCTTCTATACTTTGTCTGGCCTAGATGGTAAGCTCATCTAGGAAAAGAATAATAAATACCTGTAGTAATAATAGAAAAAATTCTTCATAATTAATTCTACAGTTAGCCCATATTACAATACAGATTTTTGCAGACATACTTCATTGTTGTTCAGGAAAATGTTCTTTGGTTAACATTGCTTTTTGTGTGATGTAATCCATCAACGTTTGTGACCCATGAAAAGAAAATTCTAATGAACTTCCCACAGAGACTTACCTCGACAATTTTTGTACTAATCACTTGGGACACTGGCTCAGAAGGTTTTAAATAGTTACTGTTAGCACCTCAGGACAGGGCAAATAAGCAACGCTTATTAGCTGGAGCAGCTGCTGTTAGTGCACAGTGCTCAGGTGAGGTGGCAGCTGGGCTTTTCACAACAAGTAGTCTTACAGAGGTAGGACATTCTTTAGCTATGTGCCTGATACCCTGAGAAAAAAAAAGTGACTTGGCAGCCAGATAAAGGGTCAAGATACCCAGTCAGTCTCAAAATGTTGTTAAAGCGTGGTCCTTTGCAGGTTACCGGGGGCTGGATTCTCGGAATGGAATACAGCTCTGCAATTCTGAACGTAGTAACACTTACGTAGGCCTCTAGTAGGATCTATAGTCTCCGTTAAATGAGAAGCCTGGTATGTATGATCCGGGATCAGAATACACCTGGTACAGGTATATGCAGACATTGAATCCAGTTACCAGAATTTGGAGCTTAGCACAAAGTAATTAATTCACTGTGCTTCAAATATGGACTCTCTAAAATAATAACAGAGTAAGTTGCTTTTTTCCAAAAGAACATTCACTAGGTGCAATCGACCTCCTCCAAAGAGCCCCAGTATCTACCAGCTGCTTCCTCTGAAAAACAAGCTCTACACTTGGTCTCCCTCTACACAGGCATCTCAGGTACCACCCCAGCCTCAGGTTATTCATAGGTGCACTTCTTCCACCACAGAACAACTGGACCCCTACTTTAAAGAACAGAAAGGGACTTTTTAAAGTTAAAAAATGTAGGTATCCGTAGACGTACTTCTGAGGCCAGAGAGCAGCAGCTGGCTGCACAGGACTGAGGGTCTAAAGGTGCTATGGAGTAATGAAGGTGGTATTTAGACACCTAGACATCTCTGCAGGCTATCGTTTTGCCTTTATGAACTGTAAAAAAAAAAAAAAGGGGGGGGGGAGCAAAATGCTGCCTTTGACAAAGGTTCTAGGCATACTAGAAAAGAACAAATATCTTTTCCAAAGGTTTTGGAAGATTACTCAACCCAATGTATGCAATTTTGGGAATGTTTATAGACAGAATTTTGAAGAACTTGTTCCATAAGAAATTCAGAGACTTATAACAATAAAGCTATTTATTTCTAGTGATGCACTTCCCAACAACTGTTTGCATTTTGTTTAGCTGATAAGAAGGCTTGGAAATATTAGCTCTTTAGCTTATGTGTCCTTGTGATGCAATTAACATCAGAACAGCATCATCATTTTCACTTCAGAGCACATTTCCTACTTTTAATTTTCTAAGTTTTTATGTCTGAATTCCATCCATTTCTCATTTTGTGTTTTACCTAGCTTTAAAATAAATCCCTTGTAAGTTCCCCTGCAAATGAAATTACTTGGAAAACTGCAATTTCATCTGAGAGCTTTATTATGCTAATAAATGTCAGAATTCTCAAGTAAAGGAATTGCTTTTTTTTCCATAGCCTCACAGAAATAATGAAAAATAGCTGGCCAATTCATATAGTTACCAGGGAAGAAAAACGCAACAGTATGTAACCAGCAGCAGCAATAAAATACAGTGCAACTAAACTGAAGACAGATTTTGAAGGAAACAAAAGGAGATCATAGCAAGCAGAAATTAAGAAGAACAGAAGCTTTCCTTGGCAGAGATGTGCAGCTGCTGCCAGTACACTTGAGGGCTGTGGGCGAAGTGCAGGCTTGGAGATGTTTCCTAAGCTAATAAATGCTTCTTGTTGCCTTCCAGAAAATAAATGGACTATGAAAAGGTAACCAGTTAGTAGAAAGAATAGAAGGGAAAGCAGCAAAGGTTGGAAAATTAAGAAAATAGGAAGGGGGGAAATGTGCTTATCCCATTGTTTTGAAAGCATTTTTGATTTTTTGATTTTTGCTACTCTGGGAGGAAGACTGGGCACTGCTGCCTCCCTTTCACCCTGCAAATTTCCAAGATTTCAGCTTTAAGCTAGATCTAGCTTGGAGCTAGATTTCACACTCTTAGTCTGTAAGAGCTGGGCAGGTCCATACTGCAGCCTTGAATGCTGCATCTGCTTCATGCCGTCTGCCTCTACCTTTAGGGCTGTCTGAAGCTGTTCATCACTGTATACAAAAATCTTTTTAGTGCTGCAGTTTCATTGTCTGGAATGTCTAGCTTTATTCTATTACACAGTGACCTTCACGTGTTGCTTTCTGATCTGTTTTTCTAGAGGCAGCTATTGTTGAGTCGTAAGATGTGCGTGTTATGGATTTTCATTATAAGATTTCCTGTCAATATTTCTTGTCAATGAGCCCACTGGGAATACACTGAGACACCTATTATGGTAATTGTTTCTTAAGGAAAAATGCTAGAGCAATAAGGAAAACTTTTAAACTTTGAAATGAATTGAACTTTTCTTCATATCTGTTTCACAGCAATAAAATATGGCACACAAGATCCCAAGCTTGTTTGCATGTATCTTTGAAAAAGCAGGTCTTGAGGATTTATTCTTGCTTCTTGCTGGATCCACAGATGCATCCATTCTTTCTAATTTTGCTTTAATCTGTTACTGTACATAGACATCTCCAATTTAGTACTGCTCTCTTTTCTAAAAGAGAACAGAAACCAAGCAAAGAAATTGACAGCAGTCATGAATGAGATTTTCAAGGCTACTCAAAGAATGTAGATGCCAGTCTATTACCACTTATAATTACTGTAATGAAATAATTCTGTAGTATGAGTATTTACATATTAGTTTTATAAAAGAATAATCTAAGGCAACTCTTAAGTACTAAATCCCTATTGTGCTGAACAAGTACTGAGCAAAAGAAGATCCTGCTTCAAGAAAGAGATACCTAAAAAATTTTAGTTAGACCAGAGATTATTTTCAGATTTACCGAGTAGAAACTTTTTCCAAAGACCAAATTCAGAATGAGAATTTCCGCTAGATTTCAATGCTTGGAATCAAATTAGTAAAACCTAGTTCTTTGCTGAGATGAGCCAAGATTAGTATCCTGACAATTCAGTTTTGTATGAACTAGGGATCCACTTCTGCTCATTCTTCCCCCAAGTCCCCACAGAGCTGAATATAGAGCATTAATGGAGTTACACCACATTTCACTGCAGTCTGAATTCTTGTCTTTACATAATGTCACAACACAAACCTGGTCTCGGGTGAAATGTGGTAGCTCACAGTGGGAGACATTTTCCTCTTCCTTTCTATGAATAATTTTTTTTTGCATAATTTACAGGTTGTTTATCTTTCAATGACTGTGGAGGACTGACCTTTTTTTTTCTGTTTTATTATGCCTTTGCTTTAAGATTCCTTTTTCCCTTCCCAAGAGGATAGGGTTAGTGGCCTCTGTGAAGTAGTGTGTCCCTGGCTGGGATATCAATTGCAGAATGAGGTGTTTGCACTTGCCCAGATGTTTGTTTTGTGTTTCCTGAGATGAATCTTCTGGATACGTACTGTCTGATGATAATGATGCGTAATTGATTTTTATAGCTAATTTCTTGCCATGCAAGTGCTGTGTGAAACCTTATCTTCAAATATTTGTTTACTGCTAGTGATTAGTCCTGTAGCTTGTATATTTACATTATGACCCATAGCTAATGCAAATTTTCTACTAGGCTGGAGCCTTCAATTAGGCTGGAGCCTTCAATGAGTCTGGTTTCTTCTCTCTTGGAATTTCTTCCAGTAGTTTTAAGTAAAGGTAACATCATTTTAAGGTATCTTTATTAAACACCAGTAAGTGATTTTTCCTGTGGAAGAGAAATAACTTAAAAGGATTGGACATTTAGTTTGGTCCTAATTGTGTTCGTTTGATCTATGTACAAAGAAAACACTTAGCATGTTAATGTCTCCTTTAACGTTTAGCTGCCATTTCTCCTCTGTTCTCAGTTTTAATGAGAACTGTACGTGGGAGAAGGTCATACGCTCACGAGCAATGGAGAGAAAAGAGAGGAGGTAGGACTGTCTTATTCCATATAATTTCACATATAACAGCAGGCAAAGTCTTGAATAAAGTATTTCCTGAAGTGCAGTTTCTCCTGCTTAGCGTTCAGAGGATTTAAGCTGAGATCTATTGTCACTACTTTTCCCTTACACAACAGGGTGTTCATACTGGGTGTGGAAAGGGCCCAAACCAAGTTGAATGTGTTACAGTGCTCCAGGAATGGTACAGAAGTAGTGCAGATCAAGAACATGTAAAGATGTATTTTGTGTATAGGCATCTAGAGCTAGGAGTGTTTGCAAATTCTTGTTTGGTAGAAGTTAATTCTTCTAATTATATGATTGTCATTAATGTTCAGTGCATGTGAAGGCATGGCCAATCTTAATGCACTTCCCATTCCACAAAATTGTAGGACACAGATTGCCTGAAAAGAAAAATCAGAAATACTTGTCTTAGACAAGAGTTAATATGCATTACTTTATGATATTTGGGGCAGAGAATTTTAAAATGTGTTATGCATCACTATCAGGATATGAGAATGTAGAAGATAAACACTGCTCTCCACATAAAGCATAACAAACTTAATGTAATTTTTATAGCACTTAAAAAGTCAACAAAGAATAAAGTTATCCCCGGTTATACTCCTCTCCTATAGGAAATTATGTCAGTATTGTAAACACAAAAATGTCTTCTCATCTAGGAGTGTAAGCTTAATAATGCGCTTAAATATTACATCAAATAATTTCAGAGAGCTGTACACTGAACACAGCACTCCAATTAGTAAGACAGCCTGTTGCACTTATATTTGCTCTTGGTTCTCAACCTTGTCTTGCTTATGATAGCCTGATGCTAATGAGAAATATGTTTTTAGTAAGTCATTCAAATCCAACTTTATGGAAGATGTGCTAAGGTACGTGTTTCATTATCATTTTTACCATTAATATTTTATCTCGGGGAATCCCAGAAAAAAAAAAAAATTCTGAAAGCGATGACTAAATGCATACAGTTTTGGCCTGACTGCTAGACAGTATTTTGTTACCTTTTATGTGCTGTACTCACAGCATTCATTTTGAATTTCAGGATGCTATGGCTTCATTGGAACCTATCTACATTTTTAAATAACAAAGCAGTAAAGAGCTGTGCACTTGACCAAACTGTTCTATGGGATGAAAATGTTTAATGAATTCCAATGCTGAGCCCCCAAAACATCCACTGGAGCTCATGTGGCAGTTTTTAGCTGATAAATATGAGAATTTTTTATAAGGACTATCCCTCAGAATCACTTTTAACTTCCCACAGAAAGAAACTGAGCTACTCTAAAATTTTCCATTGACAATTTTTAATGGAGAAATCATCTGTTTTCAGAATGCAAAGCCTCATGAAATTGCTTCAATTTTTAAAAGTATCTAAAGGCATTTTTAATTGCAGAAAATATTAAAAGTATGCACAAATTTAACACAAATTCTATTTTTTATTGAGCCCTAAAAGAAAATGTGCTGCATTAGGCTCCAAAGTCAATACAGATATTCAATGTTTTTGACATTTCATTAGGTATCCATCTCTTAATGCTAGTTTCCTTTTAAGGAAGAATGGAAATACCTGCAGAACAGTTATTCAAAATGTCAAGCCCATTAAATATCCAATTTGACAACTGAAATAAATTTATGAAGGTTTAGATAAGACCCCAGATAATGTTTTTTCCATAAAAAAATCAAGCTAGCAATGTAGGTGAGTTCAGAAAAAAGAACTGATGTATATCACAATTTTGAATATTTTGTTACATGCTTGGATCCTTACAGTATGATTGTATACACTACTAAAAAGTGTGAGCACTGAAAAATAATTAATTTCAATGGAATAATAAATAACATAATGGAAATTAAATCTGCTATTCCATTTTCTCTGAAAAAGGCTCTATCAGTCATATGGTTATGTAAAAGACTGAGCCTATTCATGAACTTTTACAGGAAAAGAGATCTAATTTTCCAAGTTGTCATTGTGACTAATCACAACAGAAATCTCCTCCTGGATGAAGGTCTCTGATTAAGAAATACAAAGTTCTGACTACACGTTCAAATATCAAATAGAAACACTTTCAATGATTCAGTGGCATGCAAATGTGAAACATCCCATAGAATAGCCATTGTTGTGTAGCAAAAATTAATAGCCTGGACTCCAGTTGTTCACCTCAAGCTGGACTAGAAACACTGACTTCCCAGGTCAGTGTGGTATCAGCTTCTCTGTCAAAGATCACTGGTTATTTGAGGAGACTTGGGGTCAGGAGAGAGTGTGAAAACTTTTGAAACCTTGAAGTGTTTCCGTGATTAAAAAAAAAACCAAACTTCCCCTTCCTGACCCTATATAAGAGTCAGTTTGCAAAGGAAAAAAGGAGGCTTTGTCAAACTGTTGTAGACATCTTTTTCCTGTTGGTGAGTAGACATCTAGACAATTTGTCGAAGTCAATGACAAGTAAGTGGGGAATAAGGATTTCATAGCCGGGTCATTTTTTATTCATTCTGTTCTACAGCACTGCACATACAGTCATGAAGAGCTAACCCATCTGTTCTCGGAAGTTGTTCAAATCCAATGGACTAAAAATATTCTGTCTGCCAAGGAGACAGTCAAGGTGATTTCAAAAGGCTTGGATGCTTTTACTTTGGGCCACAGTCTGCAGATAAATTAAGTGGCATCAGGGCCTTTTTTTTTTTTTTTTTTTTCCCTCCTCCTCCCTCAGACCTATTAATAATGAACAAAATTCACAACAACCAAGGAGAAACCTGCCTGCTGGCTAATATTCTGTTTGTAATATTGTGTCTGCACCTGCCCATGGTGCTAAAATTCATTTCAAGTTACACTTTAG